TTTGGCCATCAAACTCAGTTTGTATTTCGATGAGCTTCGAAATCGATGAGCTTCTAAAAGTTTGTTAAGTTCTTTTTACTAGTGCAGAAGCTTATACACCTCAATCCCTGTGTTGCACAATCTCAACTCACTCAAATATTTCTCGCAGATCTCCTCGAATTGGTCACCAATAGCTCTGAAAGGAAACGCTTATCAGAAAAGAATTTTTAAGAAAAAAAAACAACATCACAAAGTTGTACATTTAAAAAAGTGAAAATTGATTTTTCTGTTTTGAATTGATGATTTATTAGGTAGAGCTCGAACCTCCCAGAAATTCTTGGGCTGCACATCAAAGAAGTCGCGGAGCCAATTTTCGACCTCGATGCTATCTCTGAACTGATCCCCATCGAGTTCTGCAGCCAGCTTCCGGAAAAGATGAACATCAGAGGGGGCAAGGTCAGGGCTATACGGCGCAGAACTTCCCAGCCCAGCTCCTTCAAATTGGCAACATGAGGTCTTGCAATGTCATGCAAGAGTCATGTCATGCAAGATGCTATACCTCTCCATGATTTCTTGTGATTTGTTTGCCGACCTGATCCAGCTGTTCTGAGTACAGTGCTCCAATACGGTTCCAATATGGTTCCAATACGGTTCCAATATCGTTCCAATATCGTTCAGATATTGGAACCATATTGGATATGTTTATTTAATAATTTTCTTTCCTATATTCTTGTGAAAGGTTTCTTTTGTTTGTTTTCTTTCAAAATTTTCATCAAAATCATTCCTAGATGAATACATTGTTTCTTTGAGTTTTTTTTTTTTTAAACAAGCTTTGATTGAATTGAATTGTATTAAATAAACTTTGTTTAATACAATTCAATACAATCAAAGCTTCAATTGAATACAATTCAATTGAAGAAAGTGCTCAAACTGGGACATCTCGAGTCCTTCATTTTTGAGTCTCACACTTGTCTCACACACAAACCAAAATCCCATCACGAAAGAGGAATCCGCAAATTGCCTGTGTAAAACCCCAACTGAATGATTCCAAAGGATAGCAAGACGACCCTTAATGCAATCAAATACAGTGAACAGTTGGAGAAGGTGAATTTGGTTCATATTTCATTCCTACTTCATTCCTATTTGGTTCATATTTGGTTCATATTATTGGGTTGGTGAATTGAAAACTGCCGGCTATTGTCATATGCCACTGTTTGAGGACTTTCTTCAAAAGAAACCCATTTTGATGTCAATGGAAAAGTTGTAGAGAATCAAAAATCAAGCTTATATCCAAATTTTCAGAACGATTCAAAATACTGGTTTTCAAGAAATGCGAAATTTACGAATTTTCACAAAACTTGCATTTTAAGCGAAACTACTAAGTGTATCTTTTTTGGAAATTTGGCTATAAGCCTCATTTTTGATTCTTTACAACTTTTCTATTGACACCAAGATGGGTTTCTTTTGAAGAAAGTGCTCAAACTGGGATCTCCAGTCTCCATCTCCAGTCCTCCATTTTTGAGTCTCACACTTGTCTCACACACAAACCAAAATCCCACCACGAAAGAGGAAGCCGCAAATTGCCTGTAAAATGGGCAGAAGTCGTCAATAATAATGGAAATTATTTGCAATGAATCTATGGTTTTATGTTGAATAAATTTTAGTTCAAAATCCGGCGGTTTTCAATTCACCAACCCAATAGATTTGAGTACATTTTGAGGATAGCAAGACGACCCTTAATGCAATCAAATACAGTGAACAGTTGGAGAAGGTGAATGAATCCCTAAAGAAGAATAGGCCCTTCAAGTCAAAGATCGTTCTCCTCCACGACAACGCGCGCCCTCCTGTTGCAAAACTGACTCGCTCTAAAATAAACAGCCTCGGTTGGGAACTTTTGGCGCATTCCCCATACAGTCCGGACCTCGCCCCTTCTGATTACTATTTATTCCGGACCATGAGTAATGCTTGGTGAACACTGTGGAGTGGAGAACACTTCGATTCGGAAGAAGCAGTCAAAAATTGGCTTTGAAAGTTTTTCGATCCAAAACCAAAATCCTATCACGAAAGAGGAATCCGTAAATTGTCTGTAAAATGGCAGAAGACGTCAATGATAATGGAAATTATTTCGAATGAATTCATGGTTTTATTTTGAATAAATTTTAGTTCAAAGTCCTGCAGTTTTCAATTTGGTTGCTGATATGGTTGCTAACTTTCAATACATTAGTATGCTAGTTTTGAGGAATTGTGAATGCGTCTCCACATCGACAATCGAAAGAAAAGACGATCCTTGAGCTCAACCGGCAGGGTGTTCAGACGAGCGGCGAGCATGAGCCCCATTTCACTTTTTGCTTAACTGTTTTTATGGTTTTTGTGTATTTTTCTTATTTTATGGTATGATTACAAACTTTCAATACATTAATATAGTTGTTTTCAGGAATTGTGAAAGCGTCTCCACATCGACCGCGTGTCCACATCGACCGCGTCTCCACATCGACCGCGTCTCCACATCGACCGCGTCTCCACATCCACAATCGATCCTTGAGCTCAAGCGGCACTCACCTACAGGGTGATCAAGAATTCCCGCAACAACGTCGTATTATGTTATGAGCTCCATTTCACTTTTTGCTTATCTGTTTTTATGGTTTTTTGTATATTTTTCTTATTTTATGGTATGATTACAAACTTTCAATACATTAGTATGCTTGTTTTCAGGAATTGTGAAAGCGTCTCCACATTGACAAGATGTGGACTCTGATGTAGACTCTGTGCTATCTTCTGTGCTATCTTCTAGCTAAACGCATACCTTCTGGCAATATTTATTGTCGATTTATTAAATTTGAATAAAAGTTTATCATTTAAACGAAACGAAGACTTTATACGGCGTATTTCTTTAGCTTTCTGCCTTTACTAGACTCTGTGCTAAACTCTAAACTGCTAAACCCGCACGCACGAGCACCGGATTCAACTTCAAAAGCACTGAAAACTGTGCAATTGTCCAATTGCACAAGAGGCACATCTATCCACTACACTACTGCAACTTTAGCTCCTCCGGGAAGGAAGAAAGCCTATATTAGCTCTGAAAGTTCTATATTAACGACCTAAACTTGTTTGCCAGATAACTAACGATATAGGGCTCCGTTCATGAAACTAAAATCACATTTGAAATCAGCGTTCAAAGCTCTATCAGATAAACTAAGGTTGATTCAAAAATCGACTTAAAAAAGGCAAAAAGGCCATTCCCTAGTGAGACAAACAGAACTTGGCTCTGATCTAAAATCGGGTTTTATTCTGAAAAAGCTAACGCGTCTTTAAATGACAAATTTTTCAGGATTTCTGTAACAGTGAATCGCCATCAACGAGCACTGGATTCAACTTTAAAAGCAACGGATGGGAGCTGTGCAATTGTCCAATTGCACAAGGATCACATCAGTGAGTAATTAAGAGAAATCTGTTCGTCTGTCTGTCCATCTGTCATCTGGAACAGTTTTGACAATTTTAGCTTAAAAAAAGCCCTGCTTCTAATCCTACAACAAGTGTTTACTGAACAACATCTTACTGTACTGCAAGATGATCTACTGTACAGAGATTACAGTAATCTGTACAGTAACCTCTGTACAATAATCTCTGTACAGTAATCTCTGTACAACAATCTCTGTACAATAATCTCTGTAAAGTAACCTCTGTACAGTAATCTCTGTAAAGTAATCTCTGTACATAATCTCTCAATCTTCTCAAACATTTAGCCCATGTTGCTCAACAGCTGACAACAATTCCACAATCGAAGAGCAATGTTATTCTACAGCAACTGGTCTTTGTTATTGCAATGGACAAAATGCACAATGTGGCGGCGGAGTGACAGTGATTGGAGGATTTGGAAGAAAATGATGAACTGATAAACTTGATTAATGGATGTACAATAAATTTCTTTGAACTTATCAACAACAAAACATCGACTAGCTGAAATGTTAACAAGTTTCAACGTAATCTTTCTTCATTATCGGCCACCGTTTAAGTTAGAACGACAATGGAATGACAATTGGTTGACAATTTTCTGTGTAAGCGTGTAAGTATAATAGTGTACAAGGGAAATTGTCATCCCACTGTCATCCCACTGCCATCCCATTGTCATTCTAACCTAAACGGTGGCTGATAATGAAGGCAAACTACCTAAAGCTTATTATCATTTAATTTTATAACATTTTCACATTTATATTCCAATTTTTAGGTTGATCAGTGGGCTATAAGAAAAATTAGAGTCATTTGAATTTGCAAAGCTTTTAATGGGCCTTAATTGGTCGAAGGGGAAGCTTTAGTTACAGTCTTGACAGGATTGACAGTACAGGATTGACAGGACAGCCTTGACAGGATTGACAGGACAGTCTTGACAGGATTGACAGGACAGTCTTGACAGGATTGACAGGACAGTCTTGACAGGATTGACAGGACAGTCTTGACAGGATTGGCAGTGCAAGCTTGACACAACAGCTTTAACTAATCTGGCACATAATCGAGTTAATCTGACTTCATGTAAGACTGTACAGTAATCTTATTGTAATCTCGTCATTTTACAGTTTCTATTCTTGAAATACCTAATAGATTCTATAACTCTTTCATAAAATACCAAATAAATCTAGAATTTACAAATAACGAACTCAATTGCCTGACTTTTAAAAGCTATCAAGTAATAAAACTAAGGACTTGTCACGTTTTAGAAAACGAATTGCTCGAAGAGAAGCTTTAGTTACAGTACGTACCCCAAAAGCCAAACATCAACCAATTAAAGTCTATCAGTTTCTAAAGCTTTACAACTTTGCATTTTCCCATGTGCTGGCTTGATGTAAACTTTGCCCACGCGATCGTATTTCTAAGGGTCAGCTAACTGAAGTGAGAGTTTTGTTTTATGGGAGATTAGCTTTGCGGGTAAAACCGCACATAAAGTTTGACTTTGAAATGAGCCAAGTTCAGCTATAAAAGGTTGGAAACACTGAAAGGGAATCATTTCCGATCAGGAAAATTCGAAAATGCAAAATTTCGTGGTCTTCTCATTGCTCGTCGTGGTTATGGTGGCTGGGTTCAAGCCGTTGCCTGGCGGCAATCGAAAGAAATTGACATCCTCTTGTGTTGTGGGTTTTTAATTATATTGACAGGACAGTCTTGACAGGATTGACAGGACAATCTTGACAGCATTGACAACATAGTCTTGACAGTATAGTACATTCTTGACAGTAGCAGCATTAGTACAGCATTAGTACTAGAACTTGGCTCAGATTTGATGAATTCACTTCTGAAACAAAAACAACAACATGGTCTTCAAATAGCAATAAATCTTTCAGGATTTCTGTAACGGTGAATCGCGATCAACGAGCACTGGATTCAACTTTAAAGGCAAGGGATGGGAGCTGTGCAATTGTCCAATTGCACAAGGATCTGGACAGTGAGTAATGATATTCCTCTTCAAATCTAGATCAAAAATACAAACTTTACAGATGGGCAAACAGTGGTTGCTGGCGAGAATGTGTGGATCGATGCGTTGCAACAAAGGGAAAATGTGCTGATCCGAAAAGAAGCAACAAGAAAAATCAAGGGTATTGGAAAAGTTTTGACAATTTTAGCTTAAAAAAAGCCTTGCTTCTAATCAAGTGTTTACTGGACGACATCTTACTGTACTGCAAGATGATCTACTGTACAGAGATTACAGTAATCTGTCCAGTAATCTCTGTCCAGTACTCTCTCAATCCTCTCAATCTCAATTTAGCCCATGTTGCTCAACAGCTGACAAGAATTCAACAATTCGAACTCAATGCTACTCAACAGCATCTGGTCTCTGTTATTGTAATGGACAAAATGCACAATGTAGCGGTGGATCAGTGACAACAACAACAACGACCCAAAATTCAGGCGGTGGACCAATTGGTGGACCAATTGGAAGAAAATAAGAGAAATTCAGATGTTTTAAATGATAAATATGGTTATAAAGATTGTAAAAAAGAGATCGAAAAAGATAAAAGACATGGAAAGTATTCGATTTAAAGAAAAGAATTCGATTTAAAAATAAAAGACACGAAAAGTATTCTATTTTTCTCATTTTTCACTAACAAATCAATCTTTATAAAGTTTTTGATTAATTTTAAACTCTGGTAACTCTGGTAACTCTGGTAACTCTGGTAACTCTGGTAAATCATTTATCCATTTAGATCTGTTCTAATTCTTGTCGTTTATTCGAATTTCAATCATTAAACATCTTTTTAACGCTATTTTTTTGTTGTTGATCAAAAGTAAAATCGGCTTTAAAAAGTCGCTTTTCAGTCAAAATCATTGAAAATTATAAAGAAATCGGTTATAAAAGTGATTTAAAGTTTAGAGAATACAAGAATTCTTTACTACAGTATGCACAAATTCATGTTATTCTCGTTGTTGATGACGGTCATGGGGTTTACACCGCTGCCAAACCGATGGAGTAAACAAGTAGTGGACCTCTGCCTGCATTGTAAGCTTTGGCGGATTAAAAGAAGCCATGATTTGAATGTTCTGCTTTTCAATTTTAACATAATGCTAACTGATATGGAAAGAAATGAATCGAATTTGAATTCAAACCAAGAATTAACTCTAGAGCTTGCTTGGCTACTGATCCAGCTGTAAATAGCTGTAGATCCAGCTATGAATAGCTGTAGACAGCTGTAGATAGCTGTAGAAACCACACTGAATCACTTACTAATCATTGATCCGTTCTAGGCCAGGATTACGGTAGCCTAGCACGTTTAGGGATAGCCGATGCTTGTCTTGGTTTGCCTTGGCCTCGCCTGAACAAGTTAGAAGTCATGAATCTGGCTCTGGTTTGGTCTATAGACCAAAGTCTGTAGATCATCAAGTCTTTCTGCAAGCAATCGTTCTAGAACACTTTTGTTTGAGATGGGAAAACTCTGGTTGTTGGAAACAGTGTTTGGCACGTTGTTTCGTGACTGATCGACGATGTGCTTTCAACAAAGTATCCAATAAGCTATACAAAGGGTAAGAAGAAGTAGATTTGTCCAATGGCTAGAATCATTTCCTTTGTCGCTCCAGCAAATGTTGCTCAACAGCGAACAAAAACAACAAGAAAGCTCAATGTTACTCGACAGCAACTGGAGTTCTGTTATTGTAATGGACAGAATGATCAATGTGGAGTGACAGTCAAATTGACGACAACAACAATTGGAGCTTTTGGAGGACTGGAAGGACTTGAAGGAGTTGAAGGACTTGAAGGGGTTGAAGGAGTTGAAGGAATTCTTCCTAAATCTCTTTAAATTTGGTTCAACAGCACTGTAGAGTGGTACAGCGCCAAGTGGTACAGCGCCAAGTGGTACAGCGCCAAGTGGTACAGCGCCAAGTGGTACAGCGCCAAGTGGTACAGCGCTCGTTTCCAGACCGAGACCTCGACGGTTCGACGAAATTTGGTTCCTTATCTCTCCAAACTTCGTTCCTTTTCCCTAGATCTGGTTCCTTATCTCTCTAAATTTGGTTCTACAAATGTAGAAATTCATCAAGCTTTTAGAATTTTACCTTTGTCTTTGTCTTTTAAATCAACTTTAAAGCCAATAACAGCACTGTAGTGGTTTAAAGGAGCTAAATAGGAACTATAAAGGAGCTTTAAAGGAGCTTTAAAGGAGCTTTAAAGGAACTAAATAGGAACTATAAAGGAACTATAAAGGAGATCAAATTGCTCATGACACATCCCGTAATCTCCCAATCTCTAATCCAATATTGGTACTTACTTTTTCTTACAAATATTAATCTAAATACGCAATTCTGTTTTATGAATATTGGATAAAATATTCATAAATTTTCCTTCCTGAGCAAACGAGATATTAAAAATATGGAAAGTTATTAAATTTCGTCAATGATTTTTTTCGTTTTTATGGTTTCTTTGAGCGCAATATCGCTCTAATAACTCAATTTGTGGCAGAAAACAGAAATTTTCACGTAATACTTCTTTGATATTTAAAGATTAGACATTTCTGAGATCTTCATTTCAGATTTTTGATCCAGATTTTTGATTTTCCAGTCCAGATCCAGTTTACGATCTTTCAAGGGTCTTTGGGGTATTCCTCAGGTCTATCCGTTCCTACACTACTGGACAATGAAATATCATAATTGAAAAAAGATCGTTACTTTCGCGCGTCTGTAACTCCCTTTTCTTTACCGTATTTCTAAATATTAATATCACCATTGTGTAGCCCTTGAAAAGAGCTTTCAGAAAATGTATAACACTAATAGTTTAAACTCAAAGACAACGGAGTTACAGACGCGCGAAAGTGACGATCGTTTTTCAAATATCATATTTCATTGTCCAGTACTGTAGGTGAGAGTTTTATCTGAACGATTCTAAGAGCGAGACTAGGAACATGAGACTAGCGACAACCAAATAGATATCAGTTGGTTAAGGATTACGGTAGTTGAAAGTCACGAAATCCTGGGTATCCGAAAAATAAAGGAAAAGCTAAGGTGTATACGTTCCTAGGTATAAACGGATGTGGACTAGAATTTGGGTTAAGTTACAGAGAGTGGATCCCTGTTGATATCCCGCCATCTCTAACACCCCGACAACCCAACTCAACTCCTCCAAGGTTTAGAGGGGAGTCCCTGTGAAATGGCCGACCTGTACTGCAGTTGCATAGACCCGGAAGATATGTATCTTTATTTACAGTAGTATAATAAGACGAATAGATTACAAATAAGGGGAAGGGGGGACTCTAAATGTCCTCCTAGGCAAGCCTTGTCCTCCTAGGCAATCCCAAGGACCGCCACTTCTTGGCAATAAAAGGGATAAGCACAGGGTCCTCACATTTGCATAAGAATAGACAAATCATTCAATAATAACAATAGTAACTAAAATATCAGTTTGGCTCGGAGCTGACAGGTCAAAATCTCTAATTTTTTGTGGTCATTTATAGCTGGATACTGTTCTGAAAATTCGCACAATTCTGCAGTGCTCTTGTGTACTTTGAGTTCCTCGGTAAACGCCCCGCTCACTGGGACCCAGAGAAACCGCCCGCCTGTGTGTCAGAAGGCGAGTGTTTACCAGGACACAAAGTACACAAAGTAATTTGGCTATACAGATTTGGCTAATTTCGCTACACTGTGTTATTTATAGCATAGATATTTCAATTTCCAGACGACCGCTACCGTAATCCCCAAATGTTGCCCTTTATTTTCGTCTTGATCTTATTTCAATCGCTCGATGCGCAGTCGACGCTCCCTTTGCCACCAACAACTGTATTCCCAAATACAACGGTACTTTTTGAGCAAGGTTACGGTAGCTTTCTGAGTGAAATTACACGGCAACTTTCAGCGGACTCTTTAGATAACAACAAGCACGAGCACAACTTCATTATTCTCTTCAACCACCCCGACAATACTCACCGATTTCCCAGCACCAACAATCACAACTTCCCCAAAAAGCGAAATAACGACTTTTGTGGTCGGAATGATTGGTAAGTGATAAAGAAATCTGTTCCAAAAAAATCTAGATGATTTGGGATGATTGGTAAGTGATAAAGAAACCTATTCCAAAGATATCTAGACAATTAAATAGAACCGATGCTCCATTTGCACAAAGAAATCCATTTCCACGAATTTTCCATTATTTTCACACCCATTCATTCAAATTCAAATCGAGCATCGGTTCTATTTAATTGTCCGCCACTGTAGATCCAAAATAAATAGCAAAATACTTAATCGAAGTGACAAGTTTGACCCAATAGAAGCTTAGTACCTGATTGCAAGGGAAATTTGCCACTGCTGATGCCACTGCTGATGCCACTGCTGATGCCACTGCTGATGCCACTGCTGATGCCACTGCTGATGCCACTGCTGATGCCACTGCTGATGCCACTGCTGATGCCACTGCTGATGCCACTGCTGATGCCACTGCTGATGCCACTGCTGATGCCACTGCCGATGCCACTGCTGATGCAAAATTGCACAAAATTGCCACTGCTGATGCAAGACAAAGATGATAAAGAAAGAAATTCTTTTTCAGGAAACGCCTTACATATCCTTAAAGGCTGAAAACTCGGGATAAACTCGGTCTACTAAGCTGAATATCCATACCGTAAATACTGTAATAGTACCCCGCCCCCATAATGACCGTGCGGAGTGTTGTGTAGTCTAGCTTTGGATGCGTTGTTCTCGACACTGGTTTATGCTACAATGCTCGTTTAGGTATCAAAAAATAGCCCTGAATTTCAGCTATTTTTTGATACCAAAGACGCATTTTTTGAAAGTACGGGCGCTTTGAAAAACAATGAAATACTAAAAAACTTTTGCGACTACGCGACTGTACGAGGGCGGTGGGGTACTATTACAGTATTTACGGTATTTACGGTAGTTGTTACTTTTAATAGAGATTGCGTTTCTATTAGAATAAATACGGTATATTTCTTTAAAACATAACTGTAGAATAGATGGATTGCAATAGAATGGATGGATTGAATGAGAAATTGATGAATGACTCAGTCCTATTCATGACCAATGACTCAGTCCTATTCAGTCACCGAAATCCAGCAAGCGAATATCGGTTTCTCGATCACCGGCGGAGTGATCCCATTGGCTCTTCAGCAAATCGCAGACCTTCATTTATTGGATTCAATAGAGTTTGAGTGAGTTAGAAAATTTTAAATATAAATTATACCATTTTATAGATTTGTTGTCAATTACACCGATTGCAGCGAGGCAAACGTCTCCGGTTTAGTGGTTTATCTGCTCACAGATCGAATGGTTGACGTGATTTTGGGACCAGCTTGTAGCTCAGGTAAAATCATAAGCGATTTTTTTAAAGAATCTCATTTTTCAGGAATCATCCCAACCGCCTTCCTCAGCACCTATTATCAGGTTCCGCAGGTACGTTGGCTCTGATAAATTTAGCACCAAAGTATCCGGGTACTTGTCTGCAAAGGCTATGCCAAGCAGGACAGGCTATGCCAACCTGGACACTTCTGGATGCCTAGCTAGCTTCCAGAATATTTTCTTTAGAGTAACTCGATTAGAAAATGATGGTTGGAAGCAATCCATGGATAACTAATGGATAACTTTGCAAAATCCATGGATAACTTTGCAGATCGCTTGGGGTTTCTCTTCGGCGGCCACCCTCGCCGATTCTGCGCGCTTTCCATTTATGACAACGGTCTCATCGAATTATCGACAGTAGGTCAGAACAAGTTTTTCTTTCTAATTGTCATTTCAGGCTCGGCTATGCCTTTGTTTCTTTGTGTCAGTTATACGATTGGTAACTTTTGTTGGTTTTTCTTTTTCTAAAAAAGCTTTCAGGGACGTAATCGCCCTTATTTACACTAATGCCGGCTACGGGAATTGTCCAAATCTGATAGGGGACGTTACGGTTGGTTTGAGTCATCTTTAAGCTCATGAAAGTTGAATCTGGAAGGCACAGAAGTGAGATCTGACCTAGTATCCGACAGCTTTCAGGCTTTCAGGTGTTTTACGTGCAGATTTTCAATTGTTCTTCCAATTGTTCTTCCAATTTCTTCCAATCTACAGCACCCTACCGTACGCTAATATTTTCAGACAGCTTTCTCTGATCCAACCTCCAACTCGACCATCATCGCCGCCACTGAGAAATTCGACGTCGGCTCAACAAGAGCCTCGATGATTGCAACGTTGAAGAAAGTGAAATCGAGGGCCAGGAGTACTGTAGTTTTGACAGTTTTTAAAGAAATGCTGTAGCTAGGAGTGCTGTAGGTTGTCCAGCTTTTAGAAAATCTAAAAATCAAGAGCATAGTGACTGATCCAGTTTTTAGAGAATACCTAAAAATGAGATTTTTCTTTATTTTCGTTGAACAAAGTTCCTGAATAACTGAATATGTTAAATAAATGAAAGTCATATACTTTTCCGTGGACTTGAGCCAGATCTCTTTTATCCAAAAAGCCTAACCTGTCAAAGTTCTGATATTTTCTTCTTACAGTCATCGGCGTCTGCTTACCGACAGATCAAGTCCGAAGAGATTTCCTCATTGCAACCACAGAAGCCGGAAGGAATACGTGAGTAAGACAGGGACATTTGTTCCTGGAGTCTCAGAGTCTCAGACTTCCTGGAGTCTCAGACTTCCTGGAGTCTCAGACTTCCTGGAGTCTCAGACTTCCTGGAGTCTCAGACTTCCTGGAGTCTCAGACTTCCTGGAGTCTCAGACTTCCTGCAGTCTCAGACTTCCTGCAGTCTCAGACTTCCTGCAGTCTCAGACTCCTGCAGTCTCAGACTTCCTGCAGTCTCAGACTTCCTGAGTCTCAGACTTCCTGCAGTCTCAGACTTCCTGCAGTCTCAGACTTCCTGCAGTCTCAGACTTCCTGCAGTCTCAGACTTCCTGCAGTCTCAGACTTCCTGCAGTCTCAGACTTCCTGCAGTCTCAGACTTCCTGCAGTCTCAGACTAGAGTCTCAAATAGGAGCAAGAGACAATGTTTCAATTTTCAACTCCGGATTCAGCCATTCATTCTATTTTGAAATCATTGTCAACTATGGTTTTAGCTCCGATTATGTCTATGTGGTCCTCGCCTTGCTTGGCCTTGGATTCGGGCAGTTGGCACAAGGAGGAGCGAATATGATGAAATGTACGGTAAAGAAATGCTAGAGGAATATTTATGAGGCTATTTTAACTTATTCAAGTTCTATAAGTCCTAGCGACGTTCAGTTAGGAGATTACTGTATTAGGCTGGAAAGGTCAAAATGAGATTTTTTTCTTCTCTTCTTATCAGTATTCTTATCAGTATGGGCTGAGGTTCCAGAAGGGATTGCATAGAGATACATCTTTGGAATCCGGGGCTATTATCTGCGAATCATGTTTGGGCTCATTTGAATGGATCCCGACCAGCCTAGGGTACCGTCATTTAGATGAATGAATGGGGGGAAACCTGTAAAAGCGATTGTCGACCGGTCTAGTGAGATTACTTGAGATTACTGTAAGCAAAGCTTTTCTTTATTAATCATTTACTGTAGTTCTAAATGCAGCCATGATTATTGACGTGAATCCCATTTAGTGCCTAGCGGTTTAACCCCTTTCTGGTATGACACGGTGAATTCGAATGCTGATGGAATGGATGCTGTGGCGGCACAAGCAGCGAGGAATTTCTTGGTGGTGAGTATAGCTTCAAAAATATAGCTTTCCTGATATTCAACCTATATACTTTGGCATCCAGAGCCAAATCCGATGTTCCAGATCGATCTTACAAATCAAGGCAAAGTCAACGGATCGACGACCACTCAATTGGCGCCAATTGTCCGCGCCAATGTCCGAGGCCCACCATTCTATTGTGCTACAACCGATTGCCTGACGAATGATCAGAAATATAGCGGGGCAAGCTTTTAGACTCATTTTATTGAATTTGCATGAAATGTCCGCATGAAATGCAAATTTGAGCTGCTGTGTCCAACGAAAGTGTCCAAATCGTATGATCATGCAATTTGTCATTTTTGACTACTTTTCTATCCCAGTCAAAATGATTTTAGATGAGCAAAACCGCAGAATTGTATTTCTGTTTGTTTGATTTGCTTGGTTGGCTTTGACCCAACTTACAAACCTTAGGAAACTGATCTAAAGTTCTTAATTCCTCTTGATTCAAGTCCGGCCTGCCTGGCTCCGGTAGAATCCGGCCTGCCTGGCTTTGCCTGGCTTACAAACCCTAGGAAACTCCAAGCACTCATTCACCCTCCTCTCAGATCGGTTCGTTCGCCCCTCAACTCTACGATGCCTTTATGTGGTACGTCTATTGTTTGAATGGCTCGCTTGCCTTGGATCCAGTCAAAGGCTCGAGAAATCAATCAATTTTCAACCAAGTCCGGTCGACAGTCGCTTTTACAGGTTTTCCCTCCCATTCATTCATCTAAATGACGGTACCCTAGGGTGGTCGGGATCCATTCAAATGACTCCAAACATGACTCGGATTCCAAAGATGTATCTCTATGCAATCACCCCTTCTGGAACCTCATCCCAATTTGCAAATTTCACTTGGGCTGGGAATTATGATTACATTGTAAGCTGTGATATCCAAAATTCTCAAAAATTGAATTTAAACCTTCAGCTGGCTAACCCGACCTATGAGGATGCATCGAAAACCGTTTGGGCGGTGCGAGGAGGCGTTCAACCGCTTGCAACGCCGATTTGCGGGTAGCTGTCGACGAGATCAATAATTCCTTGATCTTTTTCAGTTTTGATGGCACAACTTGTCCATTAACTGATTGGGCAAAGAGTGGAATGTACATTGTGATCGGGGCATCGGTTCTTCTTCTTTTCGGCCTTCTCTTCTTATCAGTCATGTTTTATATTTTCAGGTTCGGAGAAAAAATGATAAAGAGATTTTTGTCTAAAAACTATTATTACCTCGAGGCTAAAGAGCCAAAAGTTGAAAGTGTAGAGCCCGAGTTGACGGATCCAAGATACCTCGTAAGGCAAAAGGCTCTAGCGGTAAGGAGCACTTGTCGGTGTAAGCGAGAGGTCACGAATTTGAATCCAACCACCAAATTCCGATCATCTTTTTAAAGTCCGGTCAACAATCGAATCAAGATTAAGAATGGTATATTAGACCGTGCTTTGACACTGTTGGGTACTGTTGTACTGTTGGGTCAGTACTGTTGGGTCCAGACTCGGTCTGGTTTAATTCAATTCCAGACTCGGTCTGGTTTAGTTCAATTCCAGACTCAGATCAAAAAATCGAGACCAAAACATGCCAAACTGGCCTTTGTTCTATTCCATTCCATCAGTTCTATTCCATCAAACCCCGTCCTTCAGGGAAAAGCGTCGAGAACGAGAACGCCAGGACGCCGAATGGCAAATCCCGTCTCTTCTGCTGGAAAGACCTGGCAAAACAAAAAGAGTCAATTTCTTGACAAGCTCCAATTCTAAACTCTTTCCAGAACGAAGAGAAGAGTCTGTATTCCCTTCACTCTTCTCGTTCATCCAAATCCTCGACTTCAAAATTCTCCGTGAACAGCAAAAGTGAAACAACGAA